TGATGAGCAGCTATGGCGCTGCGCATGGGGAGCAGCAGCAAGCAGCAGCAGCAGCAGCAGCAGCAGCAGCCCTATAACTGTTGTTGATATAGGCTCACATACTATTCGTGTGTCTCGAGCAGAGAGGGGCCCAGAGGTATGTCCTGCTGCTGCTGCTGCTGCTGCTGCTGCTGTTGCTGCTGTTGCTGCTGCTGCTTCTGTGCTATTGTTATTACTATTACTTTTGCTGCTGCTGTTGCTGCTGTTGCTGCTGCAGGGAGAGGAGCAGAGTTTAATCCTTCCTCAAGTTATTAAGAGACCGTGGGGTATGACAGCAAACACTAGCACCTGCTGCTGTTGCTGCTGCTGCTGCTGCTGCAGTTGCTGCTGCAGTTGCTGCTGCTGCAGTTGCTGCAGTTATTATATATCATGGTTAAATAACAACAGCATATGCTGCTTTTGCTGCATAATCTATAAATATATTATGTCATGTATTCTGCTGCTGCACTTGCTGCTACTGTTGCTGCTGCTGTTGCTGCTGTTGCTGCTGCTGCTGCTGCTGCTGCTGCTGCAGAGACATTAGGAGATGGTTATTTACCTGATTATAGAGGAGTTGTTCGTGATTGGGGTGTATACGAAGATGGTCTGTTGCATGCACTTACTGCTGCAGATCCAGGGTAACTAAACTGTTGCTATTTGTATATGTTGTTGTTGTTGTTGCTGCTGCTGCTGCTGCTGCTGCAGTTGCTGCTGCAGTATATATTCATAATAAATATAGTGTTTATTTATTTGTATATCCTCCCTCCTTTCCCTCTTATGATTATTATTGTTGTTGCTGCAGTCTACATGCATCAACACCACCACCACCACCAACAACAACAACATCAGCATCAGCAGCAGCAGCAGCAGCAGCAGCAGCAGCAGCAGCAGCAGCAGCAGCAATGGATACACAAGCAGAAGAAGCAGCAATGGGGTGATAGACAACAGGAAACGCCGATGGGATGAATGGCCCTGGGGCCCAGGAGACGAATACAATGGGGACAAGCAGCAGCAGCAGCAGCAGCAGCAGCAGCAGAAGCAGCAGCAGAAGCAGCAGCAGCAGCAGCCGTGGGTAGTTGGAGATTGTCGTGTGTCTGCTGCAGAGATTTTCTTTGATGCAAAGGTCCTTAGGGAATACAGATACACATGCGTTAGTCCTATTGCTGCTGCTGCTGCTGCTGCTGCTGTTGCTGCTGCTGCTGCTGCTGCTGCTGCTGCTGCTGTTACTGCTGTTGTTGCTGCTGTTGCTGCTGCTGCTGCTGCTGCTGTTTGTGCTGCAGAAAGCCTTTTGTTGCTAACGCGACGTGTCTTTGCTAATGACTTTGTTATTGTGCCACTGCTGCTGTTGCTGCTGCTGCTGCTGCTGCTGCTGCTGCTGCTGCAGGGAGGGGACGAAGTACTAACAGCAGCACATTTTATGCCTATACAATCAGCAATAGAGACAGTTGTTGAGAAATGTCCCCTTGATACAAGAAAGTAATTCTCTCCTTATTTATTTATTTATTTATTTATTTATTTATTTATTTATTTATTTATTTATTTATTTATCTCCTTTTATTTAATTGTCTCTTTTTTTTTTATGTGTCTCCTTTTTGTCTCCTAAAGAAAGTCAATATGCTGCACCATCTGCTCTCCTGTCTCTGCTGCTGCTGCTGCTGCTGCTGCTGCTGCTGTTGCTGTTGCTGCTGCTGCTGCTGCTGCTGCAGGAGTTTGCTGCAGAATGTGTTTGTGGTTGGTGGTACATCTCTTATACCAGGATTGGCTGCCCGTCTACAAACAGAGTTAACGGTATCCTGCTGCTGCTGCTGCTGCTGCTGCTGTTGCTGCTGCTGTTGCTGCTGCTGGTAGGAGGGGTAGAATTAGTTAGAGTAAGGATTATCTGTTGATTTGCTGCTTCTTTTGCTCTGCTGCTGCTGCAGCAGCAGCAGCAGCAGCAGCAGCAGAAGAGCAGAAGCTCTTATTATTGTTCATTGCAGCCATGCTGCTGTTGCTGTTGCTGTTTCTGTTGCTGCTGCTGCTGCTGCTGCTGCATCAGGAGTTGTACAGGTACCGCAAGGCGCATGCATCTTTCTCTCCTAAGGTTCATGTCCTCCCTCATCCAGAGCTGCAGCAGTACGTCGAGGGTTTAGGGTTTAGGGTTTAGGGTTTAATATTCTGCTGTTGGTGCTCTTACTTTTGCTGCTGCTGCTGCTGCTGCTGTTGCTGCTGTTTGTGTCCCTGTACTGCTGCTCCTTCTGCTGGAGCCATTGTCGTGTTGTTCCGTGCCACGTCCTTGCTCCAGCAGTAGCACCAGCAGCAGCAGCAGCAGCAGCAGCAACAGCAGCAACAGCAGCAACAGCAGCAGCAGCAGCAGCAGCAGCAGCAAGTGTGTGTGTCTGCATGCATGCAGCCATGCTGCTATATGCGGAGGTTTTCGTTTAGCAGTGCAACACCACTATGATCTTAATCATATCACCAGGGAACAAGTAAGGCAGCAGCAGCAGCAGCAGCAGCAGCAGCAGCAACAGCAGCAACAGCAGCAGGAGCAGCAATAGTAGTAGTGGTAGTAGTACTAGTAGTAGTAGTAGCAGCAGTTGTAGTAATAGTTGCAGCAGCAGCAGCAGCAAACGCAGCAGCAACAACAGAAATGTATAGAGGAGACGGTTGATGCAGCAGCTGCTGCTGCTGCAGCAGAAGGGGATGTTGCTGCTGCTGTATTTACTGCTGCTGCTGCTGCTGCTGCTGCTGCTGCTGCTGCTGTGTGCAGTACTTTGAGGTTGGATCGTCTCTCTTTGATAGTTTTAGTTGTTGGGGACGATTAAGATAAAAAGGAGACAATTAATTAATTGTCTCCTTATTTATTTATTTATTTATTTATTTATTTATTTATTTATTTATTTATTTATTTATTTATTT